CCATGTCCCCCAGCCAGTGTCTCTAGTGTCTGTGTCACTGGTGTCTGTGTCCCCATGTCTTCAAGTGTCCCCTATTTTTCCAGTGTCCCCATGTGTCCCAGGCTGAGTCCCCTAGTCTCCCAGTGTCACTGGTGTCTCCGTGTCCCTAGTGTCCCCAGGTCTTCCCGTCTTCCTAGTGACATGGGGAGTGGGATATATGGGGACACAGGGAGACATGGGGCATTGAGACACTGTGATACATAGGATCACTGGAAGACCTGGGGCCACGACACTAGGGGACACAGAGACATGGGGCACTGAGACACTCATACATAGGAACACTGAGACCTGGAGTAATCGACACATGGGGGCACTGGGAGACATGGGGCCACTGTGAGGAATCCATCTATTCAGCAGAATCAAACTAAGTAGTTTTTTTGGTGATTTTACAGCATTTTCTCTTATGTCACTCCTTGTGATTTACATCATGTGATGTCACCCATACATATTTAATTATGCAAATTAGCAAGGCCGGTATGTTTTTCCAAGAAGGGTGGCAATCCTAACTACTTTTCACATACTCTTACTTAAGTATAGAAACTTAAGAGGGATGTATGGGAGCAAAACTTGTGTGGACTGGCTGACAATGAATATAGTGAAAGGGACACTAGAGTCACCAGAACAACTACAGCTTATTGAATTTGTTCTGGTGAGTAGAATCATTACCGTCAGGCTTTTTGCTGTAAACACTGTCTTTTTAGAGAAAATGCAGTGTTTACATTGCAGCCTAGTGATAACTTCACTGGCCACTCCTTAGATGGCTGTTAGAGATCCTTCCTGGGTCATGGCTGCCTAAAATACATCCAAACATTCAGTGTCTCCTCCCTCTGCATGCAGACACTGAACTTTCCTCATAGAGATTCATTGATTCAATTCATCTCTATGAGGAGATGCTGATTGGCCAGGGCTGTGTTTCAATCATGCTGGCTCTGCCCCTGATCTGCCTCTTTGTCAGTCTCAGCCAATCCTATGGGGAAGCACTGTGATTGGATTAGGCCACCACTTCTAATGATGTCAGCAGACTGCTTGTTTTTCTGAGTCTAACAGCATTCAGAGTTACAGCTTCAGGCTTGAATACAGTAAGAGTTTGCTATATTTATGGAGGCATGAGGGGCCCAGAGGTGCTAGATGGTGGTGTTAACACTATAGGGTCATGAATTCATGTTTGTATTCCTGACCCTATAGTGATCCTTTAAGGTAATTCTGACTTTGGTCTCTCTAACACTGTGGCATGTTCCCTTTATTCTACACTCACTACATACAACTTTTCTCTGTTCCAGACTATATACCAGGAGCTTCTGCCTGCTAGTAAGAAGGTAAGGAGACAAGTGGACCAGCAAGTGCTAGGGGACAGTCCTTAGAAAGCGTTGAGCGAGCGCATCATTAGATGCATTTATGCCAAGCTCAGGGTGCTGTCTGCATAGTATGCGCTTAGTTGGCCAGCTGCATGATTGGCAGGCAGCCTGACATGCATTCATACCAGGCTGGCCTTCTAATTCTTCGGGCAGACATATCCTCAGTAGAAGTCCAGGGGTGCTGCGTAGGGGATTTGGTAAAAGTTTACCATCTCAAATCTCTGCGTCAGCTTCCATGCGATGAGGTTCCCGTTGCCAATGCACCAGAAATTTAAAAGTGTAAACATGCAGAAGCCAAACACAGAGAGATGGACACAGGTATTCAGGAAGTAAGAGGCCTTTATTCACATTACCAATCGGGTCTCCAATGAACTTCTGTTCCAAAATTCTGAGAGACCAACACATGGTGTACATTCCTTATATAGCACTATAACTCCTCCCATTAATAGCTACACCCACATATACCTTTAACCAATCAATGAGCAGAATATAGACTTGTATATCTAGTCAAACCACATGGCCCATCCAAGACAAAGGAAATAAGTGCAATTTCAGTTCCTGCATTCCTGCACATGCTCAGTACATTGATGACAGTATCCTAGCTACGTGTAGCTAACTAACTGACACAACATACACATATGCCACATGGAAATCTTGGCCTACTAAATTTACATTCACCGAAATTCCACCACAATAGTGCTGCTCTCTGTATAATACAGGTCTGTTTGTGTATAATATCCCAAGACAGAGAGCAGCACTAATCAGGGAGCACTGACTGTCCCGGGATATTATACAGGCACAGGCCTGTATTATACAGAGAGCAGCACTATACAGGAAGCACTGACTATCCCAGGATATCATATACACACAGATCTGTATTATACAGATAGCTGAGCATATACCCCATGTCCCAATCTCTAGACTACTAGTACCTGTCAACAGCAGCTCCCAGACGCGTGTAACAGGGCTTAAGTGTGCGGCTAAATCACAGATGATTCAGCAGTAAAGTGCACTCGCTGGCAGAGCCAAACTGGGAATCCAAAGCAGCCCTTGAAAAAAAATGTATGCCATTCCTACAAGTCAATATATATATATATATATATATATATATATATATATAGTACAGTAAGCACACAAGCTCACTGACATGCGCAAATAGGCTTACTGACAGACAAAACTCTGACTCACACACAAGCTTACTACAGACAAACTCACTTGTATAAACAGAAGACTCACTACAAAGAAGTTCAGGGACAAACACAAGCTCACTGACACACACATGCTCACTAAATAGAAGCTCACTGACACACACAAGCAGTCCAATTTTAACAGAGTTAAGGACCCCCGGGCAAAGCAATGCACTGGGGCCCTTCCTACACAACAACTCTGAGGAATTTTAATTATTGATAGACTGCTGAGTTCATACACACACACAGACTGCTGAGTCCACACACAGACAAACACTGCTGAGTCCTTACACACACACACATACTGCTGAGTCCATACACACACACAGACTGCTGAGTCCATACACACACACACAGACAGCTGAGTCCATACACACTCACACAGACTGCTGAGTCCATACACTCTCACACAGACTGCTGAGTCCATACACACTCACAGACTGCCGAATCCATATACACACAGACAGACTGCTGAGTAGTGATGTCGCGTACACAAAATTTTCGGTTCCGCAAATGTTAGCGAACCGGCGAACCGGGCGAACCGCCATAGACTTCAATGGGCAGGCGAATTTTAAAACACACAGGGACTCTTTCTAGCCACAATAGTGATGGAAAAGTTGTTTCAAGGGGACTAACACCTGGACTGTGGCATGCCGGAGGGGGATCCATAGCAAAACTCCCATGGAAAATTACACAGTTGATGCAGAGTCTGGTCTTAATCCATAAAGGGCATAAATCACCTAACATTCCTAAATCACAATGGATATGGATTGACACCTGACATATGACATATTGACACCTTGACATATGGATTCACGCCTGTCCTCAGAGACCCTGATACACACTGACACAGAGCAGAATATGGACTGTTCCCCCTACATAGGGTCACTTGCCAGATATGGATTGACACCTATCCTAAGGATCCCTGATAAACACTGACAGAGCAGAATAGGGACTGTTCCCCCTACATAGGGTCACTTGGCAGGTATGGATTGACACCTGTCCTCAGAGACCATGATACACACTGACACAGAGCAGAATAGAGACTGTTCCCCCTACATAGGGTCACTTGGCAGATATGGACTGACACCTGTCCTCAGAGACCATGATACACACTGACAGAGCAGAATAGAGACTGTTCCTCCTACATAGGGTCACTTGGCAGATATGGATTGACACCTGTCCTCAGAGCCCCTGATAGACACTGACACAGAGCAGAATAGAGACTGTTCCTCCTACATAGGGTCACTTGGCAGATATGGATTGACACCTGTCCTCAGAGACCATGATACACACTGACACAGAGCAGAATAGAGACTGTTCTCCCACATAGGGTCACTTGGCAGATATGGATTGACACCTGTCTTCAGGGATCATGATACACACTGACACAGAGCAGAATAGAGACTGTTCTCCTACATAGGGTCACTTGGCAGATATGGATTGACACCTGTCCTCAGAGACCATGATACACACTTGACACAGAGCAGAATAGAGACTGTTTTCCCTACATAGGGTCACTTGGCAGATATGGATTGACACCTGTCCTCAGAGACCTTGATACACACTGACACAGAGCAGAATAGAGACTTTTCTCCTACATAGGGTCACTTGGCAGATATGGATTGACACCTGTCCTCAGAGACCATGATACACACTGACACAGAGCAGAATAGAGACTGTTTCCCCTACATAGGGTCACTTGGCAGATATGGATTGACACCTTTCCTCAGGGACCATGATACACACTGACACAGAGCAGAATAGAGACTGTTCCCCCTACATAGGGTCACTTGGCAGATATGGATTGACACCTGTCCTCAGGATCCCTGATACACACTGACACAGAGCAGAATAGGGACTGTTCCCCCTACATAGGGTCACTTGGCAGGTATGGATTGACACCTATGCTCAGGATCCCTGATACACACTGACACAGAGCAGAATAGGGAATGTTTCCCCTACATAGGGTCACTT